GACGGGACGGGGGTGGGAGCCTCTGGGATGGTTTGGGGCTTGCGGCGGGGGTGCCGGGAGGTTTGGGGGGGGTTGTTTTTTTTTTTTTTTTTTTTTTTTTTTTTTGGCCTTTTCGATTCTCTTTTGAGTGAAAAATCTTGGAAAGCGGCGGGGCTGGGCGAGCGCGGCGGGGAGAGCCGGCAACTTCGCTTTCGGGCTGCCTGGCGCGTTTAAAGGGAAAACGAGAAGGGAAACGCCGAAAAAAACCCAAAAACCAGCCGTTACTTGTAAAGCCGATATTCATATTGTTTAAAGGCCGGGGCGGGGGGGGAAAGAGGGGCTGGAGGAGATCTCACCCCCCCGGGGATCAACATCCCCGCAACCTCCCTGGGCATCCCTGCGGTGAGCACACAGGCCGGCCAGGGCTGCGGGAATGTTTTTATTGCTTATTTCTTATTTATTTTTTGTTTGCAAGAGTTAGGTTGATGGTTGGACGAGATGATCTTTAAGGTCCCTTCCAACCTAGTCGATTCTGTGATTGTAAGCCCGGGGGATGAGCCTGGGGACAGCCGAGGGGAAGGGGGGGGTGTCTCCTCACCTCCCGAGCAGCAGCAGATCTTACTGTACGCGCTTCGGCACGGAGAGGAGCTGCTCGGGGTTATTTTTACAGCCGAGTTCAGCAGGGCTTGGTTTCTGCTGCCAGGGCAGTGGGGTGAGGGCACAAGTAGACCTGAATTGTATATATTAAAAAAAAAATATTCAGATCTGGCGAAGGAGCTGGTATCAAGAATTGTTCTACATAAAACATAAGCAATGCGGAAATTCCTACCAACGGGAGGACCCTGCACCTTTAATTGACCGAATTATTTAAACTGCCTTTTAAGGCTCTTTCATGAAAAGGCATTTTGAAACTCTTTAATTTAAAAACGTATTTTGCATATGTAGCTTTCTGTGTCTTTTGCTTTGCCAAGTCTTATGAGTGAGAAAGAAAATTGATTCTCCTACTGACTGTCCAAACAAAAATGTGAAAATTGCAATACTCAGTATGTACTCTAATGCACAGAACGAGTTAGAAAATGTTCCCTGTGTGATCTCTGTCAGCAGTTGTGATTTTGAGTGTTATTCAGAGGAGCTGTGGAGTTTTAAGGCTCCTTTTCTGTAAATAGAGAACCTTGTATTAGAAGAAGCAAGCAAATGCACAAATCCTGCTGGACCTGACTAGTTTCCCTTGTGGCTTCACATCTGCAATTCGAGTTCAACACATAATGTCCAGGTTTTGGACAGGGATTGGAGATCATTTGGATGATTGGTATGTATGAAATAACTCTTAATCTGGTGTACCTGTGACTGGGTTTTTACTTGCCTCTTGCCATGCATCTGTAATTCAGTTTCACTCAGCTGGTGCTGGCCAAGTCAGTGTGTGAAATTTCCTGGGATCCATGTCTCCTGAAGTTAGTTAAACTCAGGGAAAGAAGGACACTGCAACTCAAAAGAGTTTTCAGATACTTGACACTAAGCGAATAGTTAGTGCTTTCCAAACCAAACACATCATATATCATGACCGAATGCTACAGTAAGAACCCATCTTGGCCAAGATAAGGTTGCATGTTTTTGTCCCAACTTCTGTAATTTGAACATTAATAAAGCTTTTGCATAAATCTGAAGTGCTTACACACCATCTATTCCACCACAACACTTGAGACATACCATAAAAATAAATGACAGGAGTTAAATTTTAACTACAAAATAAAGAAAGAGAGGGTTTCCTTTTATTACATCATTTTCTCCCAGACACGCAGGCCTGTTTCCTAAGCTGAAAATGTTAAATATGTCATTGCATAGCAATCTATAGGAATTACAAGGCATCTAATGTTCCTTTTCAAAACAGTGAACGCTGATTGTGTAACCATCAGTTTGTCATGAATTCCTGTGCTTTATTGTTCAAAGTATGATTTAGTTCTCACAATATTTTATTACTTGACCACTTTTATAAAACCACAACCTAGTTTTTATTGCTTTCAGTATCTGCTACATACCTACATGCCTGTATACTATCTAATACATCTACACACATGTAAGTATGATTTTTTTCAGTTTATTTCTTCATTACCAAGAATAAAGAAGGGTTGGTTTGCAGTTTTTAAAAAAAGAAATTCTAGGCCAGATTTGTATGTATGAACAAGGTCAAATTACATGTGATGTAGAGGAATCTGTTGATGTAAGTTACTCCATAGAGCTCTGAATAAAAGAACATACAGATAAGCACACTATTGTACTTTAATTTAAATCTTTCCTAGCTAACCCATGCTTTTTGCATATTTTCATTCCAGAGGATTCATTTATAAAACCACTTTCCCGAGTATTGTGTCATTACAGGCCCCAAGGAGCTTCCTGTAAAACTATGGTGGAAAGTTGTGGTCACGTATCAGCTGAGATAATTTCACTGAATTTCACTGAATTTCACTGAATTTCACTGAATTTCACTGAATTTTTTTAGAGTTGGAAGGGACCATAGAGATCATCTAGTCCAACTCCCCTGCTGAAGCAGGATTGCCCAGAGCTAGAGCATGTTACTCAGGACTGCATCCAGGCGGGTTTTGAAAATCTCCAAAGAAGGGGACTCCACACCCTCCCTGGGCAGCCTGTTCCAGGGTTCCATCACCCTCACCGTGAAGAAGTTTCTCCTCATGTTTGAGTGGAACCTCTTATGTTCCAACTTGTGCCCGTTGCCCCTCGTCCTCTCGGTGGGAACCACTGAAAAGAGTCTGGCTCCCTCCTCCTTCAACCCACCCTTGAGATACTTGTAGGCGTTGATAAGGTCTCCCCTCAGCCTTCTCTTCTCCAGACTAAAGAGTCCCAGCTCTCTCAGTCTCTCCTCATAAGGGAGATGCTCCAATCCTTGAATCATCTTTGTAGCCCTACGCTGGACTCTTTCCAGTAGTTCCCTGTCCCTCTTGAACTGGGGAGCCCAGAACTGGACACAGTACTCCAGTTGTGGCCTCACCAGTGCAGAGTAGAGGGGGAGAATGACTTCCCTTGACCTGCTGGCTACACTCTTCCCTATACAACCCAAGATACCATTGGCCTTCCTGGCCGCAAGAGCACACTGTTTACTCATTGCCATTTTACTGTCCACCAGGACCCCTAGATCTTTCTCTTCAGTAGTTGCCTCTAGCGGGTCCACCCCTAACCTGTATTGGTGCCTGACATTCTTCTTCCCCAGGTGCAGGACCCTACACTTTTCCCTGTTGAACCTCATGAGGTTCTTCTTTGCCCAGCCCTCCAGCCTGTCCAAGTCTCGCTGGATGGCAGCACAGCCCTCCGGGGTGTCAGCCACTCCTCCCAGTTTGGTATCATCAGCAAACTTGCTGAGGATACACTCTGTCCCCTCGTCCAGGTCACTGATGAATATATTAAACAGCACGGGTCCAAGTATTGACCCCTGGGGGACTCCACTGGTTACAGGCTTCCAACTTGAACCTGCTCCATTAATAATTACCCTTTGAGTCCTGTCACACAGCCAGTTCTCAATCCACCTCACTGTCCCCTCATCCAGCCCATACTGCCTCAGTTTCCCAATGAGGATGTTATGGGAGACAGTGTCAAAAGCCTTGCTGAAGTCAAGGTAGATGACATCTGCTGCCCTCCCCTCATCCAACCAACCGGTTATGGCATCATAGAAGGCTATCAGATTGGTCATACATGATTTACCCTTGGTAAACCCGTGTTGCCCACTTCCAATAACCCCCCACTCTTCAATTTGTTTGGAGATGACATCTAGAATGAGTCTCTCCATCACCTTCCCAGGGACAGAGGTGAGACTAACTGGTCTGTAGGTGAGACTAACTGGTCTGTAATTAACACATTTAGCTTACATACTAATTCACTGCATGTTGTTCAAAGCTATCATATATGGTAAAATACATAGTGTCATGGGAGAGTGCAATTTCTGATTCTGGTACTTGAAGTGACCTCGAGAGCTTGGGGGGCAAGTCAGTGAGTTGTCACTCGTCTGAGTGACAGGTGACAGGAAAATCTATTTCAGAAAGTATGTAAAATTTAGGCCTCTATTATGCAAAACAACTTGGAAAAATACTATTAATGTAATGGTAATAAAAATTTACTAAAGCAATGGAAAAGTGTTGTTATACTATCATTTTTATGTGTGAG